ATTCTCAAGACATTTGTATTGCTTATGATCCAAAGTTCAACGCAGTTCAGGTTTTTTTTTATCCTACAAAAGCACATAGAGGTCAGGGACCATGTTTGTGCCAAGGTAAAATAAATCACTGGCAAGCACAGAGTTTAGGTAAAAAGAAATCAGCCCTCTGATAATGAAGAGGACCGGTGAGATTCATTGCTGTGCTCCTGCTGACAATAATGGAGTCTTTCAAAGGCCACAGTCTTTAATTCCTAGTCCCTGCTATCAGCATTCTCATCCTCTAGAGAGGAGGAGGTCAACTGCCCCTGTTCCACAGCCCCAGAGCCAGCATCCTGGACATTAAGGGCTGAGAGAGGTGGCCGAGGTCAGGCTTTGATTGCTGCTGGAGATGCCAGACTGAGGGTTCCTAGGGCTCACTGGACCCTTCTCAGACAAAGAGGCTATACAGAGCAGTTCCCAGGTCAGTTTTATCTGGGCATCACTAATGATTATGATATGATCTGTCTAGCATCACTTCCAATTGAAGCTTGCTGCAGGAATGTGGAATGCTTACTGAATGTAGACCATTGTTTGAGCCACTCATTTCAGTGGCGATCAAAGTTCTATTGTGAATACTACAAAGGGAAGTGGCCACTGGCCAGCCCTATTAAATATGTACTTGTGGTAGGGAGATGGAGAGAGTAATCAGTCTTCTTACTGATAGCAATGACCAGCCCAATTCTCAGTGTGACAAAGACTAACCTGTTCAATACAATATAACGCTACAACAAAAGGTTTTTCTTCTTGTGTGGATAGTCTTGTCTTTGGCCCAGACAAATACGTCCCTGAGAGTCTAAATGATTTTTACAAACTTTCTCTGGCCTCACACTATTGTCTCCGAGCTAATATCCCATTCTTATAGCTCATCACTTTCAACTGACGGTGACTACAGCAAAGTCTTCACAGCGGCAAAGTCTGAATTTGTCACCCACAGTGCACCACGGACCTCAAATCTCCACCTAGGCCCAGACTGAGGGCTGTGCAGATGTGGTGTAAGGATACATACAGAGCAAGGTGCACCCAGCTCTGGGCTGACGATTTCTATCCAGCAGTGATGATAATCGTCTTGCATATAGGTGTGGATCTGTGGAACAAAACCATTATCAGTTTAGTAAGTGGCCCAGAGAGGATGTCAAAGTACACGACAGGCGAAACGGCCCACAGGTTAAAAAATAATATCACATTTCTTTTGAAGATGCATAATAATTTAAATTTGCAGGGCTGGGGGAGGGTCATAAAGACCAGCTGTCAAGAGTAAAAACTTTTTTTTTTCATGTGCGAGTGAACTTCTCTACCTTGTGACGCTAAAGTCTCGACCACTTCACCTGCCTTTCAGCACAAGAAAATTAGATAAGAGATATAAGCTTAAAGTGCCCAAAGTCAGTCTCATTTGCATTCCTGAAATAAAATGAATTTGGCATACTGCAGTAGACCAGGGAGAGAAAAATCATCATCTGTAGATTGTGTATTTGTGGAAGCAGTGGCTGAAATAAACAACCTCATATGGTGCCATTAGACTTCCCAGTCACATCAAATAGCCAATAAAAACTAAATTGCCCGTAAGAACTTCACTTTTTAGACTATGTATGTTGACTGTATCATCCTTCTTTTTAATCTTCTAATATTCAAAGGTTGCAACACGCAGCAAAGCAGTGCAGGGTTACATCACTGTGTCCGACATGTCGTTGTCTGCCACCTGATGTCAGTGAACTTTCATTGAAGGTTAGTGAATGGAGTAGTCGGTCATAATGAGGCAGGAGCAGCTGCAAGCTCTTTTGATAGAATGAGGTCACTAGAGCGACAGAGATCAGTGCGCCTGATTGGGGGTTGGTCGAAAGAACTGACTAACTATTGTCTATTGAAGGAATGCAAGGCTGTAGCCCCTCCTCCAGATCGTTTTCAATGCATGACTGTGTCAGAAATCAATCATTTTAATTGATCTCTGATTCCCCCCTCACTGTTTTGCAAAAAATGATAATTGAAACATTAATAGGATGTGCATCCTGGTAACCTTTGATATAAATCTCACTCTAATGGTGTTGACCACCATAAATCAGGAGTAATTAAATATTTGTGGACAAGCATCATTTTGGGGATTTACAAATAGGGTTCCTGCATTGCAAATAAGGTTTGAAATACTGTTGATTTGGAAGATATTAGAATATGCAGCAGATTAGAAAGAATTACAGCAATACTGTGCTACTAAGTCCATTTTTACGATAATGATAATGAAACTGATTTCCTAAAAATTGGATTTTTAAATGCATACTTTGCCCTTCAGTCTGAGGCAGGACTGTAGCTTTGGTACATATTAGTTAGCTATGGAGACCCATGGGTCTAAACACTTCTGAAAGGCCATGAGTAATTCATATAAGTGGGCCAGGGCTAGAATAGTGGTAGTGCCCAAGAGAAGAGAACTTAGCTGGAAGAAACAAGATCCTCCTTATAGACTAATGGATGTGTTAGCAAGAGGGCTTTCAGACCAGCTTTCATGTTGGCTCCACCAGAGGGTGTAGAGGGAATGGCAAATTAATTATAAAAATGAAGCCAACCTCCCTTTCTTATCATAGAGGGCAGCTGTGTGGCGGCTCCCCTCATTTGTTTCTCTTCATCTCTGTCTACTGTGCTGGAATGTGTCCTGTTCAGCGTCTATTCTCTGCTTCTCTTCATAAATCTATACAGACTTACTCAAGGAAAGAATCTGCTGCGTATGGGGGAGGTGCAAAGTGGAGTTGTTATTGAGTGAAAATGTAATAGAAATTGTTGCAGAATAGCAGAGAAAGACTCAGGCTCTCAGTCCCGCCTTTCAACTTATTTCATAGCTTTTATACCCTTCCACTCAAAGTCGACTAATAAATCAATATTTCAAGTTGGATCTGGTGTTGTAATGACATCATACTGTTGCGCTGCTATGAAAGAACGTTACCCACCAGCTGAATGTGAGTCTCAATGACAAGCTGCACGGTCCTGATCATTGTCTGTATTGTAGTGCTTTGAGAGACATTTGAGGATGTTAAATGTCTCAAAAATGACATGTGCAAACCACTCTAGCAAATGAAAAGAGCACTACCATCAGAAACAGACTCTAGCACACGCTCACCTCACTTGTTGGACCATTCCCAAAGGTCTGCTTTGGAAATAATGAGAAAGAACAACATGGAATATTAATGCTGACTTGGAGCCAGCTTCAACTCAAACTGTTAATTTTCACTTTACAAATAGAATGAACATAACTCCATGAGTTAGCATGCTGTTTTCAAAAACAAACACATCATATTAGAGTTTGTTAATCAATTAAGTTTCAGGGCTAAATTTATTTAAAAATGGAAAACATTAAAGCACACAATCACATCCTTTGCATATTTATAAATCAAGTTAATTAATGGCCACTTCAGTGCATATCGAACACACCTGTAAATTTGTTAAGAAATCAGTATATATACTTTATATATACTGCAGTATATATACTTTTTATTTTACCAGTATTTGCATACTTATTTGGTCATAATTGCAACTAATAAAAGGGAGAAAAGTTAAAGTTTTATAGATTTTTCTACTGTGACAGTGCTTCCTACATTAATGTATTCTGACTGATGAAATCTCTGTGTGGGCGGGCACTAAACACAATCCATCAAATCAATTAATTTCCACTGGCCACGTTCTTTATACTGTATATCGACAAGTTGCAGGTAACAACTTGGGGACAACATTGTTAGCCATTACTCAGGCCCAGTGTTTTGAAAAGTCCATACATTACTCCACATGGTAGTTTGAATCATGTAATGTACAGAACTCTGAGGTTAATAGTAACATCATTTGACATTACCGCATCTATAAGCTCTGAAAGATTGACAGCTAAGGTTAGATTGGCCCCTCTTTCTTTGTACAATGTAGGATGAGCATGGCACTGAGTGTGAAAGCTCTGTGCTAACATTAGCAGCCCAGGCTAATGCTATTAGTTAGCTCAGGCTGCTAACTTCCACTTTTAAAGAAAAAGTCAGTGGTTTGAATTGCTAATGGTTCATCAATCATATTATGTAGGCTTGTTAAAAAAGGGTGAAACACAATTAGTATCAACATTACATTGTACAGAGTTGTAATGTGCTCCAGTGAGTACCTCAGCCTAGAAACTGATTATGCACTTACCATATAAGAACTGGATATTGGACTCAAAGATGGCACCTGTTCACTTGAATGATAATTGCTTGCTGCGTAAATAAGCCAAAAAAAAAAAAAAAAAAATAGTATCCACATTGTGCAGCACAATGCACGTGCACAATATGGTAAAATAGACAAAAAGACAATTACTGTATATAGCGCTTTTCTATGTATTCTGTAAACTCAAAGAGTTTAACACTATATTTGCCCATTCATGCATTCACACACTCACTCACACCTGACTGGCGAGCTGCCATACAGCCACTCACACATCGATGGGGCAACCACTGGGAGCAACTTGGGCTTCAGTGTCTTGCTTAAGGAAACTTCAACATGTGGACTGGAGAAGTCAGGGATCAAACAAATGGCCACTGGTGTAAAAGAGAAGCAAAATAACTAAAAAGGCTCAAAAACCAACAAGAGTTGCAAAACAAATATAGAAAGGTACAAAATGGCCACAACTACATATAAATACAAAGTGAATAAACAAAGATAACCACAAACACAAAACAACAAAACTGAAGAGCAAAACCACCACAGAGATGCAAAAGAAATAAAAAAGAGGCATAAAACGTTTTCAGTCCGAAGGTCTCACTGTAGGAGGGTGGGGGGGGGGCCTTTTACATGTTGGTGCCCAGGGGCCCAGTTTCTCATAATCCACCCCAGAACGGACAAATCCGCACAACAGCTGCATCATCATTACACACAAAACACAAAAAGTGAGGAGAATTTCAGTTCAACTTTAAAACTGACTTAAGAAAAGACCAGTAAACAAAGCAGAGAACATTTAATAGTTTAATTATAAGCTGCTGTATACATTCAGTGATTATTCCGATTTTCATTTGCCAGAAGCCATGGGTGAGACCAGCAAAACATTCAGCTACAAGATCTATTGTGTTGTATGCAATTTGTCCATTTTCATTCATATTTTTCCACATTGTACATAGTTTACTGCAAAGCAACATAAAACCTCATTGCTGATGTGCAACACGATTCCTCCAAGATCTTAGTTCGTTCGAACCCGATTCCACCCACTCTGCTGTGTGGCGCTAGTAGGAAGGGGGAGCCCTGTTTATACCTCTCTGGTCTCAACCTCATCTTTGAGATCAGCTGAACACAGATGGCACAGGGTGACAGCAGTGCTGAGGAAAGCTAGTCGTCATGTCCGAATGCCTTCAGCTGAATCTGAAATAGTCCTGTTTAAACTTGATTGGGCTCAAAGGGAAAGCTGACTCATTAGACAGATAAAATAGGTGGAACCTTATTACCAGCATGAAAAACACTGGGAGCTGGTTCCTTTCCTCCTCAGATAAGAAGATTAAGCAATATCCGGCAATCTTTAAGGTTTTGTTTGCATCTTTTTTGGTTTCTTTTGCTATCTCACTCTAAGCTCATTGAACTGACACACTAATGTCGGTGCTGAAATTGCTTTTTGTTGTTGTTATTGTTTTTCTTTTCTTTTTTTTTGTCTTTATACATTTTCTAGTAGCCCACACAGAAACTTGATGGCACAAGAACTGACCAATAAGAAACTCTTTACAACAAGGTAGACTGCAAGTCAACAGTTGCCAGGGGTCACACGATAAACAAACAAACAAAGAAACAAAAAAAAAAAATCCAAGTTCATTTTGAAAATAAAAAAACAAATCCGGTTCAATATAAAAGCAAAAGACAAATGAACAAAAGCAAGTTAATTTCAAGTATAACTTACTCATAAAATAACTACACAGCATTAAATATTTTCATTATACATTTTTAAATTATTTATAAAATATATTTTGTCATATATGTTTTTTTAATTTTTGTGTTTGTGTAACAAACGCTACTGTAGCTTCAGTTGAACACCAATGTTTATTTGATTTTTCTCTTGAAACAAAACATTAAAGGGATTGTCACATAACAACAGGTTATTAAAAATGATAATAGTAAACCCTATACAGAGTTTCACATAGCAAGACATGAGTGACGATCCCTTCTATCCTAGCCCCATAGTCAAAAGTCAAAAAAAGTACAAGACTAGAGCACAAAGTTCTAATTTGTGCTCCACTGGCTACAATCAAGGTTGGGAACAGGAGATTTCAAAAGCAGTAAGTCTCTTTTCATACACCTCAATTTGAACACAAGGATATGTCTGTCCTGCTTCCACTGTGTTCAAAGCGGCCGGGCAGATAGCAAGAGTTCATTTAGCTCCATCCTTGATAAAATATAAATACTGTAAAGACCTCACAGTCTGATGACACGAGGATGTCCTCAGGGACACGCAGAGAAAGTTTCTCTTATTAGATGGGGAGAGGGGGCGATGAGCTTGAGATGCCTCCCTTTCCTTCTGCTGAAAGAACTGAAAACTGTTGGAGTAAATGGAGGATATTTTTAGACGAAGCCCGTGTGTGTCTGTTTGTGTTGTTTCTGTGTCATTTAATACACTGATGGAGCTCACTATACAAAGGAACAAAGAGCGATTTTGGCAGTTAGAACAAACCGCAAAACCAAAAAAGGCAAAGATCCGTTTTTGATACAAAAGTAGTTCAAAAGGCAAAACTGTACGGACAAACTGGCACCTCAGGTGTCCAAACGAGTAGGGTCCTGCTTTGGCGCGAGGGCTGGAGAGCTCACTGGCCATGTCCATGCAGTCAACAGCAACCTGCCTGTCCACTCACTGCAGACAGACGGACAAAAACAACCGAACAAAAAGCAAACAAGGAAAAAGTACTGCGACTACAACAAAGCCACATCCACTACCTTGACCACACAACTAGCTGCAGCATGGTAACGCAGCTCTTTATCCTCAGCCCAAGCCGATTCTGTATACTGCAGATGGGTGTGTCTCTACTTCCACAGCCTGACTTTCTTCTGTGCACACACAGCTATTGCGGGGTATATATATGTGACTTTACTCTATATGTGTATATGCATGTTGGTGTGCATCACAGAGAAGCTCGCTAAAGCACAATGTCCTTCAGGCGCTTGCTGCTGGGGGATTCCTTGTCTCGACCATCGTGGAGAAGCGTGTTGATCTCCCTGACAGCCGGCTCACTGTCCTTCCCCTCCGGCTGCCGCAGCAGGCTGTGGTTGGCGATTCGCTCTGCGTCGCGGCATTTCAGTGTGTTGTAGGCAGACGATGGCTTGGACACTGGGCTCTTCAGGTGCACAGGGGAAGTGATGGGGCTGGCTGCCTCACGCCCATTGCCAGCTTCACGGACAGCCCCTCCATTGGACTTGGGGCTACACACCTGAGACTCCTGAGTCCGTTTTCCCTTTAGCTCTCCCCGTTCCACATCCTCAGGCCCATCCTTGCCAAAGGTGGCAAAAGTTCTCTTAGTGGTGCCATCCTCATAGTGGGGCACATCCACTGTAGTGGCCTCGATAGACAAAGCAATGACATTACGAGTGTGCTCTGGTGACTTGGCACGTGCTGGGATTGGGACACGAGGCATCCAACAACGGTCAGAGTGGCCGAGGATGCGGCACTCGTCCTGGCAGTGAAAGCCCTCACTGGGATCTGTAGGGACAGAGGGAAAACATGACGGTTAGCCTTGTCTGTGAAACCACCTCGCCTGGTCATTTAAATTCTCCCAAATGACAGTTATTTGATTGGCATGCACACCTGCCAGGAAATACATGAAAAACAACTCTGCGTTTGTTTTAATTAAAACTGCCCAAGTTAAACATTA